TATGCTGTGCTTGAAGTGCCCTTTTGTGATTGTGAGTAAATGTCTCTAGGTACAAGCCCTAGTAATTTGGAACAATAAGTGTGACCCCTTGAGGGCTGAAAAACCTATAGACCTGTAGTGTTAGTATTGGTTTAGGGTTTAAAAGACCTGAGCAGCTATGGAAGTGTTCTTGTGGGGACAAATCACAGGGAGCATGGAGAATTGTAGGTGTGTGCTGCGTGGCTGGGCCAGAGGACATCAATTTGCACTGTATGGCAGATAAAGGGCAAGGATCAGTGATAGGCAAAAGATTTCTTCAGTAGCCGCAGTGTAGTGATGCATCGGGCATGGTACATATGTGTATTTATTAATATTTAATAATTTCCCCAGCACCCCCTGCTTCTCTGTCTGTCTGCCTGCCTGTCTGGAAGTTACTCACTTAGGTAGTAGGTTCAAATCCTGTTTGTGTAAAGCCTCCTCATTGTAGCCTCACCAGAGTGAGAGTCAATGGAGATCTTTATTGTGCTGATACAGTCCCAGGTTGAATGCAATTGAGTCTCAGCCCCTTCCAGCACACAGATGGGAAAACAGCAGATGCAGTGGCTTATCGAATAAGAAGCTGTCGCAGCCCAGACTCACCGGGCTCCCCAGGAAAGCCCTTGCGACACTTAAAGGAATGTTTTGGTACAACTCGGAAATGGCTGCCAACACCGAACCTGGTGACCAGGCGACCAGGCCAGCCTCTCGGGATCCTCGTGGCATTTCGTGGCAAACCTGCTTTTCCCAGAGCCCACCGCCTCCCTGCCAACTCGCACGTGTGTGTGTGTGTGTGTGTGTGTGTGTGCGCGCTCATACTGGTTGCCATGGAAACGTAGAGGCGGACACCAGGGAACTGGGGAGACACCGTTTGTTCCAGAGGTAATTAGTAGCAAGGGGAAATTAAAAAACGAGACAGCATTACGCATGTCAAAGCAGGCTGACGCACGGTATGCAGTCACCAGGGCTTGTACAGCAGTCAGAAATACGCCGCCCCCCCTCCCCAGCCCCCCAGTACCTGTGCGTCATTGGGAGCCACTGTGGACGGCATGTGCTGGTTGGGGCTCGGCAGGTAAAAGCTCATAAATACAAATGTATGTTTTCCCCATTGGGAAGACTTTTGGCTGGCAGCAGCTCCTGTCAGCACGCCGCGATGTGGGCACAGTCGGGCATAACGTGCCCCAGAGCACCAGCATCTGCACCGCCTGCTTCTCCTGGCTTACTCAGAGGCTCAGACCACAGCCCTTGTGCCTGGGGGGCCTGCACACACGTGTTACAGCACCAGAATTACACATAGGCTATCGATATTTTACCATGAAATCTCAGATTACCCCTCTGTGCTCTTTAAGGGCATCTGGCTCAGTGTAGTTTCTGTACAATATTGAGATTCTGCGGGGGAATGACAGCCTGTTAGTGAATGTCCTCAGAAATTGAAAGCAAATGCTGAAGCACACGGCATGTCATGCTTTTTTCTTCTCTTGAGAAAAATTGCTCTTTGAAAGACGCATTTGAAAACTATCCAGTGGCCATTTATGATTTTCACAGGTGTGCGTTTTGAAAGCCGCACGGGCCGTAGCTCAATGCTGGAATGGATCAGTCAGCAAAATTACCGGTCAAGCTTGATGCTATAATCTGTAATTTACAAAATCAGCGGTTTCTTATTCAATTATGTAGTCACATGCCCAGCATCGCACAGCTGCTGGATTTACATATGAAATGGGGAGGGGGGGGGCAGATCAACCAACCGACCGACTGGCCAGGCCATGTATTGTATACTTAAAGAGTTTCACAACTACCCAGGGTTAAATCATTCAGAGAGGAAGGCGAGCCCTGTCAGATATGGGGGGTGGGTGGGGTGGGGGGTGGCCTGAATAAGCTGCTCTGTACATTAGTCATCATATTTTCATTTGCCGACATGTGTTTGTCACTTTAAGGCAGGGGTCTCAAAGTCCAGTCCTGGGGGGCCGCAGCCCTGTATAGCTTAGGTCTTTCCCTGTTCCATCACAAGTGATTCAGCTCAAGATCTGTGTGGTAATTAGCACAAGGAGTTGAATCAGGTGTTTTAAATGAGGGGAAACAAAAATGTGCAGGGCTCCGGCCCCCCAGGACTGGAGTTTGAGACCACTGCTGTAAGGCAATAGCTAGAAAAATGCTCAAAAAATTATTTCATTTGACATGATTATTGTATTGTGGTTAGATTATATTTGATACTGTATTTTGTGAAAACATAATATATAAATGAAACTCAGAAATGCATCAAAATGGGTTATCACTCCCAGTAATATTCTCGCTTATTCATTCATAATGTCCCCGTGAAAATGCATTGAAATTCACATGTTACTTCTTACACACCACTTACCTCCAGCAGAGTCTAGTTAGTAAGTGACATTTTGCCAGTAGTATGGTATGGAAAATAAGTGAAAAATACAAAGAAACGGGACAGAAACCAAGGAGTTATGTAGGAATATGTCATCCACTTGAGAAAGAGACTAATGAAAATTAACATTAAAGCTGATGGAAAAAAACATGATTTATAGTGCAAAACTGACCTTTTATTAAACCGTTCACTTTGAATCATTACCTATATTTTGGGACATCAAGAAAAAAGGTTAACGTTGAAGGAAGTGGAGCTGGGCTCTGGCAAGGTGCGATTTGGACATAAGGAGGTGGAGCTGGGCTCTGGCAAGGTGTGATTTGGACATAACGAGGTGGAGCTGTGCTCTGCCGGACTCAGTCTGTGTTTAAACCCTGAAAACTACAGAATCTCTTCATTTTTCTTTTGATTTAGCAGGAGTTGTTGAGGGTAGTTAACTTCCTCCCATGTAAGAACATGCAGGATGTCCATCTCACATTGGAGTTATGTGAATCTCCATTGCCCTGCAGAAACTTCCTAACACATCTAAGCCCTAGGAGAGGAGCTGGGTAGCGTGTCCTTACACATTTTTAACAACATATGGCTGATTCCTTTTACATTTACCTCAAGTCTCTGATGTTGTTGTGACTTGTATTGCTTTGATATAGCCCACATTTGTATCCGTGGTAAGTGTTAGAGCTTTACTCTACAAAAGGTTAATCCCCATCCTTAAAGTTTAGTCAAATGTTTAAAGCACTTCATTTCAACCAAAATATAGGATTCCCAGTATAGCCAAATTTCAGCTCCTGTCACCAGCCTGAATGTATGATGTGAGCAGATGTCTGCCAGTGTTGAGTGAAGCTTGGAAGTAGCACATCTGTGTCATGTTTCCATGCTTGAAGAATTCAGAGTAAGTAAGAGTTCCTGAAGTTGGAAAAAAAATACTCCCAGGATCAAAATGGGCACTCAAGGGAAAAGTCAGGCAGAAGGACCAAATTAGATGTATTAGTCAGTCGATTCTAAAATATCAATGCTGGGCATGTCATGTTTTGGAAATGTCAGGGAGGACTTTATCCATCTGCTTTACAGATTTTAGTTTAGCTTACATTCCCAGTGCTGGGATCCAAGTTTTTTTTTCTTTTTTTTTCTCATTCAATAATTTGTAATTATAAAATGTCATGTAAGAGAGCCAGCAGAAGGTGTATCACATGGCTTGCTAATAGCCAGCAACAGACCTGTCGGAGTAATTGATGCGTCCTGCCAAATCTGCACTGTTATGTTCCCAAGTATGCACCACTGCCACTTGTAACTCCTGGTCACTGGCAGAGGACAGCTTAGCCTCCATTAGCAGCTGCCATCTGATCTGTAGGCGTTCAGGCAGCTTTACAGCGCGAGCTGCTTGGGAGACCCAGTTTCACAGTTTTCTAAGTGTGGTGTCCGTGGCTACGTTAATTGATCTTAATGCATAACTACAATTTGTCAGCACCAGAGAAAGGGAGGAATATGTGAGAACGTGTCTCCGCACTTCACTGTTTCAATGGCCCTTTTTGCACTTCGTTTTAAAACAGTCTCGGGCGATCAGATCATAAGTAGACAGCTGAGACACTTCGCCATTTACCGCTGTGTGTATCATGCGTCTCCAAGCCCACCTGACCACTTGAGTTCAGATTTTGTTGCTGCTATTTTGTTTATTTTGTTTCAGATTTTGTTACGGCTATTGAAGTCCTTTTTGCGGATGCATCCAAGATGCATTAGCGTTTACACTACAAAAGATATGTGGTCAAATGCGTCCCAGACCACCTCAGCAAGTGATCACAATGCATTTTGGTGGTCTTTTATACTTGTATGTAGTCTGTCCACTTGCAATCTGAATACCTAAGATGCATTTCAAAACCAGTGTGTCACACCCAATAATATGCAATATGATGTCATGGCCTTCAAGGTTTTCAGGATTAACAGATCTAATTTCATCTCTGTATACCAGACTGATACCTTGCTGGCATCAACCAGTTATTTGATTTATTTCTTGTTTATGATGAATACCTTGTTTAAGGTCATCATCCACCCAACACCATCTGTTTCGATTTAATACACCATAATGGAAACGATGGGAAGAGTGCGCTCTGTCCTGCCACTTTCTCACTTAAAGCCCAGGCACTGCTACTTAAGATTCCCCACACACACAGCGGCTCTTAGTAAGAATTATGGCCTTTGTCTGGTGGAAGACCTTAAAACGTGATTAATCCATTTATAAAATGTACGCACTAGGGGAGCGAAGGGAGTTTCATGCTGACAAGCTCTATCACTGTCTATTGGCAAAGTAAGTGTGACAGATGCAGTGATAATAGTTTCTTAACATGCATTAGCAATAAAGACCTCCAATAATCTAAAGCAGTGTTTCCCAATCCAGTTGTTGGGGACCCAGAGACAGTCAATGTTTTTGCTCCCTCCTGCTTCCCAAGAGCAAGCAAAAATGTATACTGCCTTGCAGGGAGCTGGGAGGGCGCAAAAATGTGGACTGCCTGGCAGGGAGCTCAGCGGGAGCAAAAGTGTGGACTGCATGGCAGGGTGCTGGGAGGGAGCAAAAATGTGGACTGCATGGCAGGGAGCTCAGGGGGAGCAAAAATGTGGACTGCCTGGCAAGGAGCTGGGAGGGAGCAAAAATGTCGAACTGCCTGTGGGTCCCTGAAGACTTGATTGGGAAACACTGATCTAAAGCATTTGGTCCTCGAAATATACTCCTGCCGGTGTGTGCAATGAGAGGAAAGATAAAGGGGAGGAGAGAGTCATTGGTTGATTAATTTTGTGTAATAGTTGTGGCTGAAAGTGTGATGAATGCATCATTGATAATCTAGCAGAGTCTGGAGCACAGAATGAATGAAATTTCAATGGGCAAGATGTGTCTTTGGCCTCTTGCTGACTATGGACCATCTATAATGCTGAGGCTGCTGGGAGGAGTCTTGTTCTGAAAGTTTCAGAAGTAGAGAAGCCTTGTTATCCAAACCTTAGCGGAAAGTTGTTTGAGTCAGGAGCCACCAGGCAACAAAAGGCTTTAGGGCAGATAGCAGTGTTGTTTCAAGATATCGAGAATTTTGCTTAAAAAAAAAAAGCAATGGTATACAATAAATCCATCCATTGTCTGCAACTGCCTGTCCTATTCAGGGTTACAGGCTACACAATAACTCCCAATATGCAAACAGTGATGAAGAGAAAGTGATGGTGAGGATTGCTTTTATGTGTTTCCTCTGTCAGGCCTTTTCCCATATTATGAATATCAGAGCATTAATGTCATTCAATTAGAATCTGCTTTCAATTACAAACTACATTCGCACGATTGTATAAATAACGTCATTAGGGAGGCAGTGCCGTGGCAACACTACAAACAAAGCTTTTCATAATAGGCATCAGATTATGTTAATTCTCTACCACAGTAAAGACCAGTGCCAGGTCACCGTAACCCTGCTCCTCTTACGAAAAGGGGCATGTTAATACTCTCTCAATATCATTCTCAGCAATACAAACACATTTAGATTTGATTGTGCAAGGAATAGGGGTGCATCATCACGAAAAGCGCTGTCCTGTGCTTTTGTGAGCTGGTCCGTGGTTCGCCACCCCCGCAGACGTGGCAAGGTCAGGCGGTGGGCACTCTAGCCGAACAGGAGGAGCGGGAGTTTGTGCCAGTGGAGCATGTGGCTGGAGAGCAGGGGAGCCATCTGGGCACCTGGCAGAGGAGCAGCTCCGAGACCCAGCGCCATGTCAGCGCGGCTTTTCAGAAGCAGCCCGGATGACTTCCATTGAGACGGCAGGGAAGAACCGACTCTGTCTGTCCCGGTCACTGCGGCTTCACATCAGCGGACGTCTTCCGAAGGTGACCGTTAATGTGTAGGATTACTCTGCCTTAAACCTGGTAAAGACCCTCTGCTGCAGGGGTTCTAGAGAGGCACCTTAGCTTGATGTGCGAACAATCCGGAAATCTATAAACACCCCATAAATAATGTAGTGGTTCTCCACCAGACTGCATATGAATCCCGTCTCACGAATTGACAAGCCCTAATTTAAGCTGTGAATTATTAAATTCCCCTTGGACATCATTGCTGCTGTTGTCCGAACATCCCCTATTGCCCCAAAAAATTCAAAGGTGGCTGTTTCTGATATGGGAATTCAGCACAATGTGTCATGAACAAGGCTTCAGCAGAATTAAAATGCACTTTGTAATTGCTCCCCAGTCCCAGTGGATGATGTTTTGCTGGCGAATGTCATTGATTCTGCGCCAGAGGGATGCATGGGGTCTAACTGCTCGCCCGCTCCCCTCCGTGAAAATGCCCGAGGAGCCTGTCGTTGCAGCGCTCTTATTAATTGGGAGTGACAACTGAGCGGTTCCAAGCACGGCAGTAACATTCGCTACGTTATGTACGGTACATGGACAGGAAAAATGTTCATCTTTGCGTTAAGGAACAGTGGAGTACGTGCTTCTCTGCCTGTCCTGACACTTAGAAGTTAAATGTTGCTCATCTGTCCCTGATTCACCAGCTCCCCTCCCACCCAAAAGAAAATTTCAATTTCTGTAATGGTCATTGAAAACATGGGCCTTAAAAAACTGTCTCTCATTCACCTAAGCAAAGAGAGGCAATAAATTATTTATTGTGAAGAGTTGACAACGATGATGATGATGATGATGATGGTGATTGTGAGAAGATCATGTGTGGCCCCCCCATTCTAAGCCAAATATCCACATATACATATACGATTGACTCTGTTGTCTTAGGGCATGTATTTGCTGTACTACAGTAATCTATAATCTGTATTCTGTGACGTATCGATCATTTAAGTCACTTTTGAATAGGTATAGAAAGTATTTGAAACGTAATGGTTGAAATATTCTCTTGTGCTCCTGTAGCAATCTATTAGCGATTCAGCAGTTGATTTATAATGCATGTTAAGTCATATTAATTGCTGTGTCATTTTTATGGTAACTGCTAAAATCATAAACACTTTTTCCTTCTCCCATATGTTCTCTTGAAATGATTCATCACATTGTAATCATGGTTTTCTAGGAATCTGTTATACGTAACGGTGCATATCCAAGAGCTGTGAATCAACATTAATGTTTCCCCTACTGTAGGTCTAACTTAAGATGGGATTGTTTGGAAAGAGACCTTTTCTGGAGGGGCCAGGTGCTGCTTGGCACGAGGATGAAAGTGACCTGATGCAGCAGATATACGCTACATTACACATCTGACCATTTAAGAAGGATTTTTAACAGATTCAGGCCTCCCTGTCCCTTTGAAAAGTACAATAATAGGATCCTATGTCACAAGGACACCTTTCTGTTACTCTCAAATTTTTCAAATGTTACTATCGGCCTACATTTCCAGGATATAAGCCATGGAAATGCAACTGTGAATGAATAAAATTAACAATTGCAAATAGAAATGTATTTGAAGACTTCTGTTTTTGTTGCTTGGTAAATGCTTCTATAATAACACAAAGTCAGACAGTCAAGTGCTTTAAACTCTGTAATTTAACCCTTTCTTGCCCCATAGCCTGTTATGACGAAACTACTTCTGCCAAGCAAAACTTCCAAGGATTTTCAAGGCTGACAAAAGGAGCAATTAAATAAATTTCCATGCATAATAGAAATCAATATTTTCTAATTTCATATCCCCAATTACATCATATCTCATTATGTCTTTATTAAAATACAGAAAATTAATGAGTGTCTTGCATGATTTTCACTGTTTGTTCCAGAGCTCATAAAAAAGAGAGATGAATCTAAGGCCAGGATGTTTTTCTAGAGCACTGATGGTCATATTGGCATGTTGCTTGACTTCATAGATTAAGTTGAGACGCATGTTGGTTAAGTCTGATGTGGCAGCAATCTTTACTCATCCTGCTTTTTTTTTGTCCAAAAAGACCTTGCAAACCAGGTCGAGCAGAGACCATAAATGTCCCTTTGGGATGTGCTTGGCCTGGCTGAGTGACCTTTGCAGTGTCTCAGTTGCCATGGCAGCAAGGCCATGATACGCAGAGCCCAAGTTAACAGTAATAACAACCAATGAACCCTGGCTGTTTCAAAAATATCCATGGGTGGAAGAATCTGGAAAAATAGAGAGATTGTAAACAAAAATACAGTTAAAGTTCATTTCACCACTGGGTATATTTCTGTCTTTTTTTCAGGTGGCATGGTGAAGTGTTGATTCCTCCCCTAATCTAATAATTTCTTGCTGTATATTAGACTCAGTTGCCTTCCACACACCCACACTGGACCTGATGCCCTACAGGCAGGGTAGCTATCATGAGTTTGAGAAGCTGTGAACATCTCACTCTGCTGGCTGGCAGCTGGGAACCTGAAGGTACTTGCAGCCGCACCCTGGTCCTACCTCAGGTCAGTAGCTGTGCTACTTTCATTTATTCCACTAAAATCACCTTTGAAATCCAAGTAAGCAATTGAGGTAAATGAATTCAAAACCAATATGAGTTATAAAGTATTGTGGCGTCGGGCGGACCGAGGCATCGCGGGAGCAGAGAAAGAGACGGAGACTTGCTTACCGGGGAGAACACGCTATTTATTGGTAGTCCTGAAACGGACCACATCAGGCACCCGACGAGCACCGAACCGATTACACGTAAGAAACACAAGGTTGTCAGAAGATGAACTGTAAGATACACACACGGTGGGAGATTTATGTAAGCTAATTACACATGAGGATCGGACCCGATACACACAAGACACGGGCAAACACGCATTGACAATAGGGAAATATAACCATTAACAATAATAACAACAATACAAGGACTATTTATAACTGCACGCAGGGCATGCTGGGACAAGCGCCCCGGCGATGCTACAGTATGGTAGCCAAGCTCAACTCCTTGTAGCAGTTAGCAGACGGCACAATGAATTAAAAAAATGTCAGCAAACAAAGGAAGCATTGACAGTTTGCATAAAAGTGTTTTACATGGGAAAACTGTCCGCGGCATCAAAAAAGCCTACACACATTGTATTTTGAGCAGAATAGCTAAGTGGAACACTGTCCTTTAGGAATCTGAGTTACCGTGCAGGGGATGGTCGCTGTTTAGCTGTGTCCTCCATGATGGATAGACCTGCTAATATATTGTCTTAAGGTCTGCAAAGTTTGATTTAATCTGAACACCACTGATTTATTCCAGTTCTACTTAGACAACTGTAATTATCCCAACATGCTATCAAAGTGCTGCTCATTCAGCCTAGTTGACGGTTTAGAGTAAAATATGTCAATACAAGTATTTTTTTTGCACATAACATAAGATATTGTTGTAAAATACAGAGTTCCATTATGAACTATTGATTTATGGTACTTTAATTCTACCCCGTCACCCACATCTCTCAAATGTCAGTAGTCAATGCTCAGCACTATGTAGCCACTGACCTGGAAGGCTTGCTTTGCTACGTTGTCATACCTCATCAATACACCAGCTAATTAACAATATCACAAATGCAGCCTGTTGATAAATGTACAGTATAATATATTTTCAAAGACTATTTGTAAATTTACTATAATATATTTGTAACTATTTGTAAATTTACTCTGTGCAGAAGTAAATCTTTTGCATTTGTGCTGCTGCTGAGAGTGACATATTGTCTATAGTTTCCAGGAGAAAGTGTGTCAGCTACACAGGAAGGAGGGGACCACACAATATCTGGATGAGCGTGGAGCTGGGACAAGGGCATAGGGTTGCTTGACATTGACAGTTCCCCATAAATCATGGTACATTTAGCACTCCAGACTGTCCACCACTGGAATCTCCCAGTTCCAAAATGCAATATAGATCGACAGGAGTGGACAGGGGGGTGGCCACCAATGGTAACACCCTCCCCCACCAGCCTCGAACCACATCAGTGCCCAGACAGCAGGAGAGCTCCTCCGGTGCATCCTATCCCATGTTCTCTAAGTGGCAGGAAGACCCACCTCACCGCCCACCCTCTAGAATCTCATCCCCCAGCTTGCAGAGCTCAATGATCAGCCTTCAGAGCTCCCGTGCCAGCCACAGAAGTTCCAGCCCCAGCTTGCGGAGCTCTAGTCAAAGCCTGCACAGGGGCAACTCCAGTGAGGACAGTAGCTGGGACACCAACAGCTGGAGCTCAGGGGCTACCTGCCTGTTGCGCAGCACTATCAAGAAGCACAGTGAGGAGTTCCATGCATGCCTGGCCAACTCAAAGCCCAACTGCTTGAAGGAGTCTGGCGATGGTGGAGAGAGTGACTGCATGCCACCAAAACATCAGGAGGGGGTTGAACAGATGCTGGAGAGGAGGGACTCCTCACACAGCCTGTCCTCCAGCCAGGACACGTCTGTCACATCAGCACAGCTAGAGCAGAAGATCAAAGCCAAACTGAAGTTCTCCCAGTTTCTGGATGAAGTGACTTGCAGAGTGCTGGACCCAAGCAGTCTGGAGGCTTTTGGTGTGTTCCGGCAAAGGGAGTCATCCAACTTCTGGGGTGAAACTCCTGTCAGCACTGAGTTAAAGTGGAACAACATGGCCCAGTGGACCAACTGCCTTCCTGTCTGCAAGGTCCTGAACAACAACAAATACATGAGAAAACAGGAAGAACCCAGTTTTCAGGAGCCAGCTTCAAAACTGTACTTGGAAACTGACATTGACAATGTTGGGTGGGAGAGACAACTAGAAGCAAACAGTCCCTGGAACAAAAGGAAGGCAAGTCCCATAAAGAGGGGGAAGGAGATGGGATCCTTTCCAGTCTCTAATGAGCTACCTCGGGAAAACTTTGAGAGGATGGAGCCCTTAAGCCCCATTTTCAGCTGGAGCAGCGGCTTCTCAAAGTGTACCAGCAAATCAACATCTCTACCCAAGTCAAAGGGCAACATGGTGAGTGCTACCATCATCTACTGGAAACTCTTAACTGATTCAGAAATTCTGTCTTAGAAATGGAATAATTGAAAGCATATTGAAACGAACAATGTTTAATATTTTATGCCTGTTAAATATAAGTTTATAGATAAAATCTAAATCTGTCCAAGTTTCAATGACTGCCTCTCTGGTTAGGCTTGAGGTGACTCAGAAGTTATCCCGAAGCAGAATACCCGAAGCAGATCAGTACTGCATGACACTGACAGTAGAGGAAGGAAGACAGAGTTTACTTGGGTACAGGAGTAGTGTTGTGCATTTGCTCATGCACGGAACGGGGAAGCAGCACATGAGCCGGGAAATCGGGTGAACAAGAACTTTAATTAGGAAAACAACGATACACCAAAGGACGAACGTTAGTGACCGTACTGGGGAAAACATACCTAATGCAGACTTAAATACATTAGACTAATGACAGCAACAAGAAACAGCTGGTAAACACGGGGATTCCACACGGGGTAGATGAGGGGGCGTGGCACATGGGAGGATCGGACGAGCGGGGCATGACAAGTAGAGTAGCTACAATGGGGTGTAGACTTTGGGGTAGGTTCTGTGTGGTGTTCCAGGGCTCTTTTTCTGGTGTGTACCCCCCCCCCCCAAATCACTATGAAGGAGCTATGCAGGTTAACAAAAGAATTGGTCAAAATGCGACGGTTTCTGTGAGTTACAACATTACTTCTGCCAGTTATAGTTTGATGTTAGATGTTGTTGATGTTGCTCCTGATTTGGAATGGAGTGTCTCAGTAGGATGAGGTGTGTGTGACTGCCTCGGCTCAGACCTTACCATCTGCTCCAGTTGCATGTGATCAGCGTTTCTATAGTGTCGTGCCCTTTAGGGTCGATGTGTAACTCTCCTCCACGTCAAGGCTGCTGCAGTCTCAGACAGCTCGTTATGCCATACTCCCCTCCTTTGGTGCTTGAACTGCAGGTTCATCGGCAGTTTTGTCAAGTGGAGTCAGGGAAAGTCACACAAATTTGTCCTCAGTTTGGGAGTTTCCTTCCTTGTGTTCCAGGAACTGTTTGCTTACAGTTGTGTCTCACACCCAACACTGTCATTGTCAGTTTCCTATTTGCAATTCACATTGCGACATTTTTTTTCCAGAATTCTTAACTGGGACTTTGGTAGAAGTGACTGTCTAGGAACAGGGGAACTGTAATGTTGTAAAGACATGTTTGGCGGGGTGCTGTACCCCAGTACCTGTATGGCCAATGTTACCAGTTGATGCCAATGGAGTTTGGGAATAATGTAAATTATACAGCTATCTACAAGAAGTACAGTCTTGACTCATAATGACAAACTAGACAAGTGATTACCAGTTTCATTTGCCTTTTGTGACATTTCAGAAAAAGATAATGTGACACATATACAGACTTATTAAGGTCAACTGCCATTTTTAATGTGGCAGCAAATTGAGAGCGTGCACATTTTTTGTAACATTTTTTGTAGAAAATTAAATCTTTGTCAACTCTGTCCTCACATGGCTCCTTGACAAAAAGAAGGCAAAATAATAAACTAATTAAAATCTCTGTCTATAGAGAAAGAGAGTGACTGTTGTCTGTGGAGTGACTTCCCTTACCAAAACTCAGGAATCACCCTCTACTTTGACTTGGCCGTTTCACCACAGTGTCTCACCCCACCGTGGAGTGGTCCTGGAAATGGGGGGCGGGGACACAGAATAGACCTTAGAATAGTATAGCCTCTCTCCCTCATTGAGGAGACTGCTCACTTAGAGTCACGTTCCAGATTGCAGAGGCTGCAACAGCATTAGGACTTTTGAGGAAGTAATGATATTTAGGCACAGCACATTTTTACATTTACATATTAGGCAGACGCTTTTGTCCAAAGAGAAGAACAAATGAGTAAATACCACGATCCAAACATTCATGCTGTCAAGGAGTCACCTATGCATAAGTACAGCTAGACTGAGCTTCTAGTGAATGCCCAGGTACAAGAGTAAGCAGCATTAGAGCAGGAGCTGCCCAAGAACTACTAACAACAATTTGTAGATGTACAGGAGTCGGAGAATGAAACTGAAACACTGGCCAATAGTGTTGAACTTTAACGTTGAATTAGCAGAGCAATAGCACAGGGGGGCGCAAGAGGAAGCTGTCTGAAAGGGATGTTTCAGTACCAACCCAGACTGCATCCAAAAAACATAAAACCACAGCTGGCCAACACACTGCAGAATTAAATGCACTTCAACTCTCCTGTTTCCACCTGAAGGTGGTGCCATATATAAGGATGGTATTGCACCAATACACACTGTCTGTTCTGTAACTCCTGTATCTTATTCCTAATGGTATTATTGTCTGGAAACTTGATATGTGATTTATCAGATTTTTTGTTTTTTTGCATATTTGGTGTCTTTACTGTCTTGTTGTTTATCGTTTATCTTATCTACATGTTAGCACTTTGACATTTTGGTCTAATGAAAAGTGGATAACTTCCTAAGAATGCCGCGTCTATAACAATCTATGAACACATTCGTAATAATCATTTATTGGCCATTGCACAAGTACAGGTCCATAGTGTCTCTTCGCCTACCGCATCTTGCTCTTCAAAGCTGGATGGTTACAGTGCAGGGTCAACCATTGTGCAGTGTCTCTGGAGCTGGGGGTTAAGGGCGTTGCTCAAGGGCCCATGGATATGTGACTGTTCTGCCAGGGCCAGGGCTCAAACCAACAACCTTCCAATCATGTGCACAGAGTCCATTGAGCCACTCGGCACTACCGCTTTGTTTCTAGACTTTGGAACATCTTAACAATTTTCCTTTTACAGCAGCGCTCAACACATGAATGGAGCTGCTCTGCTGTGAATTAATCCCAAGAAATTCCTTTCAGAATTCACAATGCCATTGGTTGGTCACCATAGTAAAGCATCGTATAGAATTCCAAAGTAGTACAGTATGAAGACTGCTGACGAACAATCCTTAGGCTCAGACATGCAGCTGACCCCGTGTTCAGATCTGGTCACACAGCACCCTAGGTTTTCTTTCCCTGTAAAAGCATAAAGCATTATAAACATAGCTTTAAATATTGGTAAAAAGGCATAACACGTGTATTATGCATTATAAGTGCTTTATGCAGCTCTCATCTATAATGCATTATAGATACCTTCATAATTCAATACAGGACTTTCTTAATTCTTATACCAGTCTTTATAATGTAGTGTATTATGAATAAAGCATTCATAGAGTATAATATATATGGCTAAAATATGTTATGCCTTTTTATTTATGCCGTTATTTATAATGTGAATGCATTATAACGTATTGTTGCCTCTGGCTTGCTCACTGGGGGCTTTGGGAAGGGACCGTGGAAATAAAATTGACTTGTAATGAATGTGTTCATAAATTGTTATTGACGTGGCTTTCATAGAAAGTGTTGCTGAAAAGTGCTTTGTGAATACAATGCATAATTAATAATAATAGCGATAATAATAATAATAATTCATCATTATTATTGTAGTGAGTACACAAATTTTGACCATTGAATAACTACAGAGCCTATTGCAATGTAACAAACTGCACAATGAGTATGTTCTCCCCCAGCCCCCCCCCCCCCCCAAAAGAAAGTTGTTGCAGATGCGTGTTATTTGTCATGCTTGCTTCTGTGTGCCAGTAACAGTGTCTTCACTGTAGGTACAGTAAGTAAGTCGTGGCCCATCTATGGTTGTCACGTGTAATTAATGACGGAAAATGGCTTTAATTCTACCTTCTACAAGATCCTAGTGTTTGGTTGTCAACTGATTGCCTCACTTTGTGATTTCTTAATTGTGTCCTTATGGTCATTGCATACTTTGTTCTTAATGATTAAGCTTTCACCCAAGACTTAAAACTGTCATCAACATTAAACTATGTAAAATGATCATTTTATCTTCTGGATGAAAAATATCCCTTGCAAATGTCTGCCCCACCCCATCCCCCCACAAATTATGTTTATCAAAAACAAAACATATAAAATGTCACTCTTGCACAAGCATTCAGAGTAAACCACCTCCCGTGTGAAATTCAGCAGATTGGTTTACCTGTCACCTGTCATGCATTGCTGCTTGCTCCCCCCCCCCACCGCACCCCCCATTCAGTACAGATACTGACTCAGTACCTGCCCTGGGGTATACCACTCTCTGCAGCCTGCTGCAATTTTTTGTGCCACTTAATCTGTCAATCCCCCCCCCACCCCCCCAGTAATGCAGATGTAGGTTTGTTTACTGCTGCCCGTGTGAAGCACTTTGTCCAACAGCGCCTTGCTGAAGATCAGCTCCATTGCTCAGCATATCTGAGGATGATCCTTCTTCTTGATCCATCTTGTTTCTCTTGATTCCTTTCAGGCGTCCGATGGTGAGATGCAGAATGTGAGGTAAGCTGCTACCTTTTACTATCCTTCTGTGCCGATTCCCCTTCCCTTTATCGTTCTCTGGCTCTCTCTCCTCTCCTGCTCTCTCATGCTCTCCCTCCCTCCCTCCCTCCCTCTTCCTCTCTCTCTCTCCCCGTCTGCCCCTCTCTCTCTTTCTCCCTCTCCTGCATTCTTCACTACTGAGGTGTTCACTGCCAGTTAAAGCTGTTTAATCTACTGGGAATCTAGCGCCAGCTTTGTACAATGTGCGCTTTTCGGAGAGGAGGAATGCACACAGGAGTATAGTGACCAGACTGGGTGAAAATGAGATGCAAAGCCAACAAACGGTAAGGAGGGAGCAAGCTTAAGAAAGCATGCAGTTGTTTCTGTAAGCTTTGGATTTTCTTTTGTACATGTCTGATTTACTGAATGCATGTGTGAGTGCAGTATTTGGTGGGTGCCTGGCACCCTATCCTTCCTTCTCTGCGTTTGAAATGACTGTGAACCACTGGCAAATATCTTGCATGAGCTGCAGAATTTTGATATCTCTTTCCACGGGAACTGATTTCTCATTGATTTCTTTAGTTTGGACTTTCGCGTGATTTAGAAGAAATGTGGGTGGTATAAACAAAGTATGCTTCAGTGATGTGTTCAGTGCGTGCTCTTTGCGAAAGCTTAAGAAGCGACGGATATTTCAGGAAGGGGGTGGGTTTGTTAAGACACTGCTGGCTAACAGTGGGCTTGACATGTAGAGCTTTTAGTCTGTAAGTTGGCTTCTAGAGATGTTCTTAAGCTGAGTATAACCACTGTGTATATATAGTTGTCTCTCTGAAATTCTTTTATGCAGATGGTTTTCGAGATAAGTTTAATATCACTGTTTAATAGCACTTATGTAGAAGATTATGGCCAAAACAGGTTGAAGTGGTAAATGCAAACATCAAGGTCTGCACGGAGCTCTAAAAATTAGTTGATTTTGATTTAATCACCTGCCCATCATCTCATTATGCAAAGTTAAAATTATGGCTGTGCTGAAACATTGATAATTATACCAGGGGTTTTGTGGTATTTTTAGAATTTGCAGTTTGAATTAAAACTACGATACTTTTTGTTGTCACATTGACTGAATTAATTAGAAGCAATTGCTCTTGATAACATTCATATCCAATAGGGCGACTGATTACTCGCCCCAGGCTGTCATTCATGCAGCGTCCGAGGTGAAGCAGCCAGCCTGCACACTGGAGAGTGGCTTCCTTGGTTAGGAAGTGAACAGAATAGCCGGAGCCAGGTCTAGATTGTCCGTAGGCTGCATGATCTCCCAGCCCCGGGACAGCAGAGGCGACTGGGGAACACGCAGGGCTGCTCTCTGTCACCACTCACATTAATATTTCAGGCAGATTCACACGTCATAGAAAAGTTCCAGCAGAGGCATGGAAGCTTCCACTCTAGAACAGGGGGTGCACAGTGCACTTACTGTAAAGGCTCTATATTCCCCAGACACAGGCAGCTGCCCTCCCACCTGCATTAAATCACTGGCTTGGTCCAATCTACTTGTATGGCTACACATTAATTCGAAGGTGGGTTGGGGGTTGCTGAGGGAGGCCCACCTGCCACAGCTCTGAAATTGCAGTCATTTCCAAAGCTGAATCATCACCATGGCCAAGGTCCTTCTCCTGTTGTGAATAGAGGATTTCTTCTAAAAGTTACCTGCAGCATTTTACTTCTATTACTGTTTGCTTTTGCTGAAGTACAAGCGCGCTTTCTTAATTATAACTCCCCCTTAACCCAACCCAATCCTTCCCAGTGTGACCAGGGTTATTATGGGTTGAATGTACCCAGAGGAGGGACATAAGTCACTGAGGGTGTGTGGATCCGACTTAGTACAGTGATGGTGATTATTAGCTCCCCAGATGAAACTGTACTCCCAGAGATAATAGAAGGCCTTTGGAATGGTACTCTATAGGGAAGCATTTTGTTGCTTTGTCTCCAAGTCTGTACCATGGTCTTATTCTGAATTCATAGAATATGAATGTATAAAAGGTTAGTATTGAGAACCGCTAACTTCTAAAGGCCGTTGCATATTGTTCATACAGTATGAATCAGATCGCTATGGTAACTCATTTTTCCAGCAACGTTAGAATGTAGACGCAAGGATACTTAAAGTTAAATCACATCACATTCAACTTTCCAGTTCACAGAGGCCAGATCAGTAAGGTGAAGGTATAAAATGGTTGCTATGGAAATAAATATTATAAAATCATCTTTGATTTTCTACTACGTTACATTCCATCATTCCATCCCTAGAGAAACGCATTGCCTGAAGTTGATTAAGATTCTTGACAAGACTGCAACTCAACTGTGGCTCTGTTGAGTAACAAGATGGCCTGGAGAGAATGACCCGTTTTGGTATTCCACAGGGAGAGGCCTCTTCTCCTGTTACCCCTTCTGTTTTCAGATACTTCCAAGGCTGTTTGGTGTCTCCAAGTGACATAACTGTCAAAACTGAGTGAGAGAGACTGCTACGGATATTAGAAGCATGAGTGATGAATGGATCTGTCCACCACCTTCCCAATCATAGGTAATGCTCTCACTCTCACTTCGGATCACACAGTTAGCATCAGGTGATGTGTTACGGCCAAGACGTGTCCATCTCTCACCCAGTGGGACGGTCTGTGTTCCTTGATGATCTAAATGCCCCCCAATACAACTATCATGGGGCCAAAGACCAGCTTTCATATCAGGACGACTGAGTAGCTTAGAGAGGGAAGAGGAGAAAACTCTCTGTTGCCCTCTGCTGTACAAGGCTCAGTTTATTTCAGTGGTGTGACAGCACTGTCGGTTTCTGACCCACAGTTCCAGTGCTTCCTTGTCGATTGCAGCTGTTGTATTTTTAATTACTATCTGTCTGTTTGAATAATGACTCGCTACAATGCACCGGAGAGACGCGCCTGTTTTGTGGTCTTTTGTTGGCTGGGCTCGTCTTGCCTGCATGTTGTTGCACACAACACCCCCCACCCCCAAACCCTTCCAGGGATTATTTTCTCTCTGGTGCATTGTTGCAAGCCATTACTCAAGCCATAAGCCACTGAGCAATTGCTCATCTCCCTCAGTTTTCCAGCAGGTTTTGCTTCGCTAAACACGGCTGCAGTCATATTCTTAAGATAACTGTGTGGGTGACAGCAGGTAACCAGTTCGTGGCTGTTATTGCCCTTTTCTGCTTCCCCGTTTGTCAGCTGAAGGTCTCTTTCGTGTTGCTTTTGTGCAACAAACATCTCCAGCCTAGAATATACTAAGATGGCTGGGTATGGCAGGGCATTCAGCTGAAGGCAGTCCCACTCCTAGGGTAAAGTTGCATCCTGTCAGATATTTTCAGCTATGAGGGACAGCCCTTCATTTCAAAGCAACATCTATATAACAAAGTGCTATAGTTTTGTGCTGTGCCTCCTAATGAATATTTAGTCATTATTGAGTATTTGATAGGGGTTTCTGTACCATTCTAGGCATCCTGGGCTGGTATGGTTTTGAACGACATGCTGTTTCAACACTGCAGTGAGAAGATGATTAATGATAGCTTTGAATGTTTTTTTACAGGCATTATGGGCAATATTTTTGTTCCAGTAAATCCTTGTGCCATTTGTTTGGCTGGTCTGTCTTTGGGCCAGCCATCCTCTGCTCTCTCAAACAGACTCCAGCGACTTGGGGCTATGGAGATGGTTGCCCTGCTTTTACAATGTGACAGTGACAGTGACACCAGCTTCCATGCAGGAAAACTCCTCACACAAAATTTGAGAAATACCTCCCCCATCCCATCCCCTGAGCTGCAGAACAATTTTTCTCAAAATCTCAGGAAAAGGTCGCTCCTGTTAAAGTTTACTCTTAAGTTCCTACCTTTTCTAAAATGCGGTCTTTCATGTGTCATTCCCTGAATATTTCCTCCTGCCATTTCCTCTACACCGATCCTCCCATTTCTCCCAGCTGACTTCCGACAGACTGCAATCCAGAGATTAATAGCACTCTATCTCGTCTCTTTGAGGAAGTCTTTGATTCCCTATGAACCCTAATCTTGTCATTTTGTTAATTGGAATGTTATCATTTTGAAGGCACAAAGGGATCCCCCCCCCCCAGCAAAGCCGGCCTTCCTTGCAGGACACTCCAGCAGCACACACTGTTTTAATTAAACCTACAGGAAGAGGCGCCTCAATTCTCTGAAAGGATTAGTCATCACCGGGGAACTGGAGGAAGTTTACCTTAATTCCACTTGCCTATTGTGGTTTCCGTACCATTGTGTTATTTTCAGAGGTTGTGTCTGTCAGATGGATTTTTCTGCTTTTGTGCCAAGGAATAAAAGTTTTTGTATTTAACAAACATTATTGGAGCACCGAGGAGAAATGTGTTGAAATGTTAGGGGTCTCTTTATTTCTAGATAGTGTTTTGGCTGTTATGTAAAACTTTCACAGTCTTATGTTAAACAGTCACCTATGTGACTATTAACTGTAGTATCTCTGACTACTATTATCGCAATTTAGTGTTAAGTGGCGTAATTCAGAATTTTCCTTCATAATTTTCTCTTGTGCTTTCCTCAAGGTCTTGTACCAGCCCGTTTTTTCTTCCCACAACCCATTTAAAGCCAAGAAATATGCTGAATTTGCTGTTAGCCAAATGGAGGAGGGCTGGGTTTTAATGGACTATGACAGTCTGGGGATGAAATCTCTGTCATTCTGGATTGGCTATGTAGGATTTCTCCATTGCCTCCTGTAAGCTGGCTCTGCATTCTGCTCTTTTGTGTCTTTTTGGTGGCAGAAGATTAACATGTGGTCTTACAACGTGTTGATTTTCTCAGTGTACCGTCAGCCAGGCACTGCTGTTAATGAGTCAAGGCACTCCGTCTGCAAATTAAGTGAAAAATGGTCGTCGCTCGCTGGGTTACTAATGATGCTGCTGCTGCATGCCAGCGCTAGTGATAATGACACCAGGTGTATTCACACTTGTGAGATTCCATTGAATGCCCCACCACTTGCATTCTGTCT